TGCAAGAACCCGCAGAGCATCCGCACGGCCCGCCTGCTCTTGCACAAGAAGATTTACAGTACGGTGGCGGAAGACAGGGCTTCTCGCACAAGAGCTACACTCTTTTCTAACAAGTGTAAGCTCTCTTGTACTTGGGTTTCTTGCTCAAGAAAGCCCTATGGCTAAAATGGCCACCAGAGATTTCTTGTGCAAGAGAGCATCCACACTGCCAGGGATGCTCTTGCACAAAAGCACATGGCGGTGTGGACGTGCTCTTGCACAAGAACTTTTGCGCAAAAAATTCTTGCGCAAGAAGCCTGCAGGGTAGACATAGTCTAATAGTTTAAAGATTTGCCCATGCAGAATTTTTTTCAGTCTTTGTGATTTATGTCTGCATCCTCAACTGAAGTATATTGGCCACTTTACTTCAACTGAAGATGTGGTCCTAGATCAGTGGTCACCAAGCAGTTGATTGGGATCTACTGGTTGATCTTGGAGCCTCTGACAGGTGATCATGACTGGATTGGCCAAGAGGGTATCAAGTGCCAGCACTTCAGCTGCCCCTCCCCACTCTGTTGCACACCTTCTGCCCTTTGCCTTGGAGCGGTCCTCCCCCCACCCTCGGGAACCTCCTGCTTGTTGTGCAGGGCAAGGAGGGAGAAGAGGGGTGCTGATGTCAAGGTGCCTCCTCTCTCACCCAGTATCCTATCTCCACAGAGCAGAGAGGGAGCACAACAGAACTTGGGATGGTGTTTGCTGGCTGCTTTTGGGAGTAGTGCAGGGCCAGGGCAGGGCTGAGCCTGCCTTAGCCCCAATGCACCACCACCCAGGAGCCACCTGAGGTAAGCAGTGCCCAGTTGGAACCCACAGCCTGAAACCCTACCCCAGTCATGAACCCCTCCTGCATCCCAAGCCCCTGCCCTAGCACTCCTGCATCCAAACAGCCTCCCAGAGCCTGCACATACAACCCCTTCCAGCACCCCAATTGCCTGCCCTAAGCTCAGCTCAGAGCCCATCTCACACTCCATATCCCTTAATCCAAGACCAGAGCCTTCACCCCAACCCTCTGCCCCTGCCTGGTGAAAGTGAGGGAGGATAGGGGAGGGAGGGAGGAAGGACGGAGTTAGCAGGGGTGGGACCTCAGAGAAGGGGGACAAAGGAGGTGGGGCAAGGGTATTTGGGTTTGAGGTAGATCTTGGATTGCACTTCAATTCAAAAAGTGATCTCATGCTTTAAAAAGGTTGGAGACCCCTGCCCTAGATGTTTTATTTAGGAAAAATTAACATGTGAAATGTCTCAGTAAGTGTCTCGGAGACCAAAGAAATGTATACTATGAGTTACAGAGGCATGACTAATTAGGTTTGACAGTATACCCTTCCTATAATATGCCTAGGGTATCCCCTCATGGAGGAGCTGACTTCAAAATCAACATCCTTGAGTGAGCATTAGTATAAGCTTTACTCTTCTCCACCTACATGTTATGTTTTTAAAAGTCTGTAAAAGCAAATAAAGAGAAATAGTAAGGAAAGATTAAGCAAACCCAAAGCATGTCCCCAGAGGAAATATGAAAGAAATCTATAAGAGAATTTTTCTATACCCAAGTGGAACTTGAAGCCAATCTGATTTAATTACCTGCAACGGCAGCTGGTACCCAAAACAAGTAATAAGAACATAAGTATCACCACTCCTAACTGCTCAAGTGTAGTACCATTCTGTCTTTTATTGAGAAATAAGGGAGGAGCTCAATAAACACACTCATACACATAGTTAAAATAGAAATGGATTTTGTGGGAAGCTACAAGGAAATACTTTGAAGAGTTCGGGAATTTTAAATAGATAAAATTTACTTTTTGAATTCTGAGTCTATGGCTACACTGCCTTTTTTTGCGGAAGAGGATATGCAAATCACATTCTCATTTGCATATCTTCTTCTGATTCTTTTTGAGGAAGAGGTTTTGCCGCTAAAAAGCCCCGTGTGGATGGGGCCATTTGTTGGAAAAAACACCTTTCACACAAGATCCCTTATTCCTCAAAAATCAAGGTTCTTGTGAAAGAGGGTTTTTTTTCCAACAAATGGCCCCATCTACACGTGGCTTTTTATATCCTCTTCTGCATATCCTCTTCTGTAAAAAAACGGCATTGTAGCAGTAGCCTGAGTATTTGACATTTTCTTTGATCGCTAGCTAATAATTGGCTTATTATTAACCATTAACTAACAGTATAGGTAGATCTCATTGAGAACACACACATAAGCTACATTTGAAAATATATGAAATTAGGTAACATTTTAACTGTTGTTGCATCTAATAGTCAGTGCCAAATAAGGAACTTCTGATCAGATTACAAACTGCATAGTTCCCAACTTTAAAGCATAGGTCTAGAGGGGGAAAAAAACACCTCTGGATAACTTCCTAGACTGAGTTTCTCTGGCAGCAGATAATGGAGGATGTCAAGCCATCTGGAGTGGCTCACAAGCATGAATGCTAATCTCAGGGCAGGTGGTCAAAAAACAGGGCACAAACCCCAAATTGGTTGTGTGTTTTATACTTGAGTTTCATTTAGATCCTGTCGCCTACCAAGTGTGATCTGTTTCTCAAGTACTACAACAGCTTTAACATGGAGCCACAGATGGTCTCCGCAGGCACTCCACTCTGCCTTGCCACTTAAGCAAGCTGACCTCTGGGATAGATGATTCCTCACAATAATATTCAGGTTACTCCCAGGCCCAAAGAACCAGTCACTTTCCTCAGGTCAATTGCATCTCAGACCACCATACTAAAGATAATATTTGGAACCAATCCTATAATGCAGGTTCAGCCTCTCTAATCCAGCACCTGCCAGACATGACCGGAGCCAAGCCAGAGAATTTGCCAAACCACGAGAAGTCAATATAGCCTAGCGGCATTACCAACTCTTCCGCTGCTTACTAGGCACTTAGCAGATAGGCGATGTCTACCTTGGCGGGTTCTTGCGCAAGAACCCGCAGAGCATCCGCACGGCCCGCCTGCTCTTGCACAAGAAGATTTACAGTACGGTGGCGGAAGACAGGGCTTCTCGCACAAGAGCTACACTCTTTTCTAACAAGTGTAAGCTCTCTTGTACTTGGGTTTCTTGCTCAAGAAAGCCCTATGGCTAAAATGGCCATCAGAGATTTCTTGTGCAAGAGAGCATCCACACTGCCAGGGATGCTCTTGCACAAAAGCACATGGCGGCGTGGATGTGTTCTTGCACAAGAGGTCCTTGCGCACGAACCCGCCAGTGTGGACATAGCCGAAGGGGGGCTTAGACACCAGAGTGTGCACTGCCGGTAGTCTTGCCAGATGCTTTCTCCAAAAATCCTGAACGTGGCAGGAAAAAACTTGGTTGAGCCAAAACAAAACCAGGAGACAAAAATAGTTGAGCAAAAAACCGGGAGAACAAAAAAAAGTTGCTGCACCTTTAAGAATCCCCACGCTACTTGCTTCCCCAGCCCATCCCAGACATGGCAGGGGAAGAATATCCCTGCCGGCCTTCCATCCAAGAAAAACAGAAAATACCAGACATTTCACATGTCTGATATTTTCTGTTTTGTTTTATTTTACCGGACAGGGGCAAGAAATAATGGACTCTTCAGGCAAAAAACGGAGCTGGGAACCCTAGCTGGTAGAGGGAAGTGTCCTGAAGAGGATGCCGAGGTCAAAGAGAAACATGGGGAAACACCAGCTAGAGCAGCCTTTCTTAAACTGTGTCCTGTGGCACACCGGTGTGCTATGAATCAGAGATGTGCTGCTGAAAATAGAATTAAAAATGGTCAGCCTTAAAGGGACAGGCGACTCCCCCCCCCATCCCCAATAATTTTCCCCCTGACTATTTTTTGTCTTCCTTTTTTTCCCTCTTTTTTCTCAATAACTTTTTCCTGGCCTCTTTTCTTTTTCTTTGGCTCAACAAAAACTCCTTGGCGTTCCTCATTTTAAAAAAATTGTTTGGTGTTCCTCCGTCTTCAAAAGTTTAAGAAACACTGAGCTAGAAAGAGGCGTCCAGGGAGTCAACAAGCTAATTCCCAGGACAGGCGGCTGGAGACGCCGTGGTGGTGAGTCTGCCTCGTGACAGTGCTATTAGACTATTTCGGCTGCGTCTAGATTGGCATGATTTTCCAGAAATGCTTTTAACGGAAAAGTTTTCCGTTGAAAGCATTTTCGGAAAAGAGTGTCTAGATTGGCACGGATGCTTTTCCGCAAAAGCACTTTTTGTGGAAAAGCGTCCATGCCAATCTAGACGTGCTTTTCCGCAAAAAAGCCCCAATCGCCATTTTCGCGATCGGGGCTTTTTTGTGGGAAACGAATCTGAGCTGTCTACATTGGCCCTTTTGCGCAAAAGCTTTGCGCAAAAGGGACTTTTGCCTGAACGGGAGCAGCATAGTATTTCCGCAAGAAGCACTGATTTCTTACAGTAGGAAGTCAGTGCTTTGCGGAAATTCAAGCGGCCACGGAACAGTTTTCCGTTATAAGTATTTCCGGAAAAAGCGCGTCTACATTGGCAGAATGCTTTTCTGGAAAAGCACTTTTTCTGGAAAAGCGTCTGTGGCCAATGTAGATGCACTTTTCCGGACAAAATCCCCGATTGTCACTTTCGCAATCGGGACTTTTTTGCGGAAAAGAAATCAAAATCCCCGATCGTCACTTTCGCAATAGGGGCTTTTTTGCGGAAAAGAAATCTCTGCTATCTACACTGGCCCTTTTCTGGAACAGTTTTCCGGAAAAAGACTTTTGCCCGAACGGGAGCAGCATAGTTTTTCCGGAAAAGCACTGAAGATTTTACATTAGATCGTCAGTGCTTTTCCGGAAATTCAAGCGGCCAGTGTAGACAGCTGGCAAGTTATTCCGGAAAAGCGGCTGATTTTCCGGAATAATTTGCCAGTGTAGACACAGCCTTTGTTGTTTTTCTAGAATAAGCTAAGCTATGCTCCGGCATATCCATGCTCCGGCAGTCAATACACTGGGGGTTGTACTTAGGTTACCCACTCTGGTTCCCCACTTTCTCAATGCAGTATTTTGTACCAATATTCGTGGGGGAGTTTCCCCTTTACGTGAACTGTTGAGTGGTTGGTTTGTTTACTGGGCTGATTGCCTGAGCATCCTCAGGAGGAGGCAGAAGGCTGTACAGATTTCAGAACCTCCTAGCTGCTAGTTACAATACCGTCTCCCATCTTTAGACTCACAGATGGATAGAGCAGGCTGCTCAAAGACTGTGGAAGACTCAGGCAAACTCAGCCAAAGCTGTGGTGGTGGGTTTTTTTGGTCACCAATACTTTCTAGCTGACCTATTTTATTTCAATGTTTGTTTACTTGTATTTCTGATGTTTACATTGGATTGTTTGGGTTATTTTACAAGAAACTTTTGATAAAGCTATGTAAAATAAATGTATTTTGTCCTTTTTTGGATTTGATTGTATCACTTCTTCCTTCCGAGTCCTTGGCCCCCACCCCTCCCTTTCCCATGAGGCTCCACCCCCCCCTCTATCCCCACCCCTGACTAGGTACCCTGCCCATCCCTCATTCCAGCATCTCTGCACTGGGAGATGCTCCTCCTGTGTGTGAGGAGTTGCAACGAGCATCAGTCACTGAATCCTGGGCCGCCGGGTGCTTTGCTATGGGAATTGGTTTCAGGCAGTAGGGACGGGCAGTGGAGCAAACCCTAACCCACCCAGAGGTAACAAATGCAGATCTTGAAAGATAAGGAAAAGTTAGATGAAATACAAAGCTTCTAGTCGCGGGGAAACTAGTTCTGGATGGAAAGTAGACGGTCCAAAAATAAACAAGAGGGATTAAAACTGAAATATCAGTGGTGGGTGGACCAGGCCCTGTGGCCCCCTGCTGGAGGCCCTATGACTCTATCACACCCTGCCCCAAATAGACAATAGGGAGGTCCTCCAGGCAGGCTAGAGAGGCTGCAGGAGAAGCAGCCAATCAGAGGCCAGGAAGGCCCTATAAAAGGAACTGAAAGAGCAGACAGCATTCAGTGTCTCTGGAGGCCTCAAGGTATGTAGAACCTGGACACTGGCTGGCTGAGGGAGTGGCAACAGCATGGACAAGCTCCTCTTTCGAAAGATCGCGTCTAGACTGCAGGCGGATATTTCGAAAGAGAAATCCGCTTTTTCGAAAGAGAGCACCCAGCGAGTCTGGATGCTCTCTTTCGAAGACGGCCTCTTTACATTGAAGAATGCCTTCTTTCGAAAGAGGAACTTTCGAAAGAAGGCGTTCTTCCTCGTAAATTGAGGTTTACCGCCATCGAAAGAAAAGCCGCGTTCTTTCGAAATAATTTCGAAAGAACGCGGCTTGAGTCTGGACGCAGGGGAAGTTCTTTCGAAAAAAGGCTACTATTTTCGAAAGAACCCCTGAGTCTGGACACGGCCTAGGTGTGTGGGCTACACCAGCACTCTTGCATCTTGGACCCATTCCTACTGGAGCTGAGCAGAAACTGGAATTTCCACACTGGAAAGTTTTCCATTTCGGACACATTTTTTTTTTTTTAATAAATTAGAAAGAAAAGTCTGCTCAGGGATGGAACACACAGCAACCCTGGGAACCTCAGATCCCAGGCTTCCCATTAAGAAGTAGGAGAATTCTTCGAGCTTTCCGTTAAAAGCATTTGCGGAAAAGAGCGCTTTTCCACAAAAGCACTTTTTGCAGAAAAGCGTCTGTTGCCAATCGAGACGCGCTTTTCCGCAAAAAAGCCCCGATCGCCATTTTCGCGATCGGGGCTTTTTTGCGGAAAACAAATCTGAGCTGTCTACACTGGCCCTTTTGCACCAAAGTTTAGCGCAAAAGGGACTTTTGCCCAAATGGCAGCAGCATAGTATTTCCGCAAGAAGCACTGATTTCAGACAGTGTTCTTGCGGAAATTCAAGCGGCCAGTGTAGACAGCAGATTTTGCGGAAAAACTTGCCAGTTTAGACACAGTCCAGAGCAGAAGGCAGAGGATGGGAACCCCTTTTGCTAAGCAAAAAAGATATTGGGCTTTGAAAGCTCCTCATACGGTCCTGTGGGACTTGACTTTGTACCCAGTTTGATTGCTCTGCTACAGAACAGACCGAAGGTCACCGGGACAAATATTGATGCAGCCAGTAATGAGTAAAGAGACGAGGGGCTGTGTGTGTGAGTGACTCAGCCATTGGGTCTTACAGGACACATGTATTGGACTGGACTGACTCATAGACTCATAGACTCCAGGGTCAGAAGGGACCATTATGATCATCTAGTCTGACCCCCTGCACAGTGCAGGCCACAAAATCTCACCCACCCCTCCTAGAATAATCCTCTCACCTATATCTCAGATATTGAAGCCTTCAAATACTTTGAAGACCCCAAGATGCAGAGACTGGGGCGGTTCTCTGTGCTTTCACCTCCCAAGTGTTTAAAAATCATGGATCAGGTAATGAAATTGGCTTAAAAATGTTGTGAGGTTGTATTTGTTAGTTTTAGAGGGTACTTTTATTTGATTTGGGGTTTCTGAGCATTTGTAGCCTAGTCTGGTCATGTTTTCAGGCTGTCGTAGGGACCTATAAAGGCAAGGACTTTGCTTTATAATATGAATCCTTAGATTCTTACTTAATCAGTCGAATCCGGTGTTTTAAGGAAAGCACCAGATCTTGGCAGGCTTGTGCTTGGCGGAGATGGAGTTCACCTTTCCAGGAGCGGGAAGGCCTTGTTTGGACACAGACTGGCTAATAAAGATGAACCAATTTAATGTAATTTAACAACTAAGGGTATGTCTACACAGCAGCGTTATTTTGGAATAACCAACATTATTCCGAAGTAACAAAGAGCGTATCTACACCGCAAGCCAGTATTTCGAAATAATGTCGAGCTGGAGGACTGCTTACTCCAACTCCCCTAACCCTAATTTCACAAGGAGGAAGGAAATATGGGGGAAGTGTGCTCTTCTTTCAACTTCCTGCTCTGTAGACAGAGCCAAAAGCCGAATTAAGCTATTTTGAATTCAGCTGCACCATTGATGTAACTGAAGTTGTGTCGTTTAATCTGAGTTTTGCCCTGGTGCGTAGATGTGCCCTAAATGACTTAAATTCACTCTTACAGCTGCAACTTTATCTTGCTGATGGAGCTTACAGGAGATCTTTCCTCTCCTGGGAAAAATTCCCATGAAACAGGGAGGGGGAAATCATTTTTGTCAAAAATGTCAAGGTGGAGTGAAAAACAGAAAAACTGTTTTGTTTTCAGGCTGGCACCTGAAAACTGACTTTGATCTGAACATTTTTTAAGTGGCTGTAAACCAAAAAAAAAAAAAAAAAACCAGAACACAATAAAATTCAGCGGAGAGCTGTCTCTAATGAATAGTCAAAACTTTTCAGGGAAACCAGAAACTTTCCATTAAAAAAACCCAAACCAACCTCATCTACCGGAACATCCAAATTTCCATTGCAAGAAATTCTGGTGGCAAAAAGTCAACCTGAGTTAGTGCAGAAGTCATAGAATCATAGAGCTGGAAGAGACCTCAAGAGGTCATCAAATCCAGCCCCCTGCCCAAGGCAGGACCAATCCCAATTACATCAAGCCAGAAATGGGACCCAAAAACACAGGGCCTGGGCAACCATCCTAGGACAGGACAGCTCGGTGCATGAGCCAAAGAGAAAGGAACTGGGCATGTGTATGTTGGAAAAGGGGAGATAAAGGAGGCCTGTGACCGTCGTCTGCAGATATATGTCAGGCTGCCCGAACACCGATGGTGAAACGTTGCCACCGGGGGCAGGACAGGAGGTGACGGGTTCCCACAACAGCAGAGGGAAACAAGGACAGGTCCTTTTTTAATTCCCCCTTCCCGTCTTTGTTATAAATTCTGGGCTCCTGTTTATTTCCCCTCCAGCCCACCTGAGGAAGTGGGTTGTGCCCACGGAAGCTCGCGCCCCGATATGTAGAAATGTGTTAGTCTCTAAGGGGCTGCAGGACCACCTGGTGTGTATAAAGTTACAGATGAACCCGGCTCCCCCTCTGATGAGGTACCAGGAAACACCCCCTCGCAGTGAGAACCTGGTACAGATGCGGAGGGAGGTGGGGGAAGCTCCTTCGCTGGAGGCTTTCTAAAGGGGAGCTGGGATGGTTTAGGCATCACAGATCCTCCATCTTGGCGGGGGGTTGAATTGTTTTGGGCCTTGCAGTGCCATCTAACCCCTCTGAACTGTGAATGGGATTGTCAGCTCTGAGCTGCAGGGCAGGGATGGAGCCAGTAGGGGTCGCTGCGTCTCTTAGTTCAGGGGCTTGCACAGTGAGGCTGTGGGAACAGAGGGAGGGATGCTGTGAGCCGTGGGGCTGGCAGTGGGGTGTGTGGGGCAGCTGCAGCCAGGCAGGCAGGGCGGAGAGAAAAGGGGCAGAAAGTCCCTAGGGAGCATTGGAGTGGCTGGTGCAGCACATGGCATAAAGACACCATCCCTGCCCGTGGGAAGTTGCTAGATAGTTTCCTGGTGCCAGGACATCATGGGCCCATGTAACTTCTCTCAGAGGAGCAGGCTGGTGTGAATGGGTCTTAGCAGTAGTAGCACCTAAAGGCCCCAGCTGAGATCAGGGCCCCGTTGTGCCGGGCGCTGCACAGACACAATGAGTGATATACTGTCCCTGCTCCTGTCTTCTCCCCCTACCTTTAGTAATCCATCATTCCTCACTACAAGAACAGCTGCGGGATGGGGCGGTGTCAGCCGATGGTCAGGGCAGTGTGTGTGTGTGTGTGTGTCACACCCAAGTCTTCAACTGCTGAGACACAAGGTCTCGTCGCAGTGGGCAGCCTAGAAGGCTGAGAGATGCCCCAACGGATCTGTCCTCTGGAAGCGACACGATCCAAATGTCCCAGCTCTTCCTATATCTGTCCCTTATGACCGGCTGAAGTTCTTTTAAATTGTGCTTGGTTCTGTTACAGCAACTGAAGGAGTCAGGTTAAAGCTTAAACAGTTACAGGTTTATTAAAGAAGCTTATAAATCATATGGTTACAATGGCTATTGCTCTATTTCTTAACTACTAGCAAATATAGATCTTAAAAATGGTTACAAAGAAAATAAAGATAGAAAATAGAAATAATGGTAACAAGTGACAGCTTAATCTTTAAAAAGCTCTAAGTCTATGTGTACACTTAAGACAAA